TCCGCAGATTGCGGTCCCAACTCGCCCTCCTCCAGACCACCCACGGGGGCATTCTCGCCGCCAGGCAGAAAGGAGGCTGAGGAGAGCACAAGCGGCGCCTCATCTGCCATCTGTTTGGCACGTTCAACATCGGCCTGACGAGCAGAGAAGGCGGCTTGTCTGGCCTGTCTTTGTCGTTCCAATCCATCTAGCACGCGATTTACCAGTGTAACAAGCGAACGAGCACGGGAATTGGCTAGAAGAATGCATCTGAAAAAAAAGAAAATAGTCGTCGATACGGATAATCGTGTTAGGAGTCACCCTAATCAAATCAGCTGGCGGGAAAGTTGATGTAGACGCGGAAGCACGCAGCCAGCGAGCCGCTCTCGCGCCAGGCTATTAATTCGCATACACGCGGCGCACGTAAGCTGACAATCAATCAATAATTTCATATTTAAAGCTGCAGCCAGGCTAGGACTCTGACAAGCCAGCCGCGTGGGTCACAAGACAATGCAGTCGCTCCTCACTTGAGGCCACAATCTGATTGGTTCGGTTGGACATGTATGTAACGCTCTGCTTGCCTTAAGTACGCTGTACTAGGTATGCTAAAAGACTAATGCTTTTGCGTTCCTCTTGTCGTGTTCTTCCTTGGGGACCCACACAAGGCGCAATTAGGCGGTGACATCTTGGCTTTGGCTACATTTACAACACATCGTAGTGCAGAAAAGGAATTATAGTTCGTGCTCGTCGGATGAAACTTGGTCGCGTGAAGAGCTGTCGTATATTTTCGCTTCAATAACGGGAACAAGAATACATATGCATGGGTCCGGCCCTACCTACCGCGAGAGACTGTCTGGTCTGATGGGCGTGCTGAGTCCGGAGGTATGAAGACAACAGAGTTCGCCGTGTGCAGTTAGACCAACCATCACGCGTCCGCCGGTAAGGATGGCTTCTTCGCGTTTTGTCGGATCCTGGAGGATAATTTTGGTGTCAGAGGCCAATCCTAGAGTCACTAGAACAGGGATCCGACGAAGGAAGAGCGGCACTGGTGGACGGTGTTTGCATTGTGTATCTACAATGACCTAGGACGTTGGCGAAAGCGAATGAATAATAGTCAAAATAGATTTGGCAACGTGGAAAAACGTATATAGTTAATTGGTATCAAACGGTTTTGGTATCGGTTA